AGAAGCGACGAGTACCATCAATTCGTTACAGTTAGATTAAATACAAAGAATTTGTTAACTTACGGGGGTTGTAATTGTATTATTCGTTTGTAGAGTTGAGAAGAATTTCACAGTATAAGTTCTTTCTTATGCACTCCAATGTCTCTCGTTGCACTTGCGATAGATTGATATGAACGCTCACCGTGGTGATTTCCCTGGCACAAGGATCCGAAGGCACGTATGATACTACTCTTGTAGAAACGAGCAAGACTCGATGATTTCAACGATGGCTCCTAAAGGAATTCCGTCGAAAGCCAAGATTCACGAAAGACTGATCATCGGTTCAGAATTCTGTAGGTGCATTAGTTCCGATTTCGGGACTGCTAATGTGCCGTAGCCGTCGACAATATTATGTACTATGGTTTTTACGAAAATAATATGCCCTATCCCAGAGGTCATAAATCGAGCTAACTGATTTACGATTTTATGATGCGTTATCCTTTCGGATTTAAGTTACGCTGACTTTACTTTACTTACGCGGCACTGCTTGTTGAATTTGGACTTTGTCTTTTCGAATTTCCGATTTTCCAATGATTAAATTGATCTGAAATGTCGTATTTAACTAATTGTAATCCGATATTTATTAGCGAGAAGCGCTAATTCTCTATCGGATTTTATTTCTATTATTTTCCACGGATTTACTTTCGGGAACTGTGTTTCATCTATCGGCTAGTGTTGACACTAGCCGTGCGTCCTTACTGTTTACTTGTAACGGGTTTTGCTCTCGGTACAGGAGTACCGAGAGGGTGATCGATTTGTCACGTTACAATTTATGCATAATATTATTTAAAAATGTAAGTACGTATAAGTGCAAGCTCGTGATTGTACATTCGGCATTAAATTTGATCTACTGCTTCGAGATTCTTTCGCTACAATGCATCGTCTACTTGCGTAAAACATGTAGAACCATGATTTTCGTTAGTAGCTCGCAAAGCGTGTAACACAAGTGTGCTATTATTTCTTTTGCTTAAATTGCATTGTGTGTAATCGATTACAATGGTGATACGGTTCGTAGATTTGTTCAAACTAAGTGAGAAATCTCTTATTGAGGTAATCACCTTTGGACAAAGGTACGGACTGATAGTTCGGACTTTCAAGTGTCCAGTGTGCAATAAGGATATGATTCTATGCACTGCCGAATTTCTTTCGGACAAGTATCGTTGGCAATGTCGTAGTTGCAAAACAACGAGATCAGTGAGAACTGGTTCGTTTTTCGGCAAATTGAAGTTACCAATGATCGAAATTTTCCAACTGACATATTTTTGGATTCATAAGCACACCCAGATTCAGGCTCAGGGGAAATTTCAATGTTCCCCGCACACGACGATCGACTAGTACTATTCCTGTCGCGAATTATACGTCGGTATTGTACTAGAAGAACGTGGGCAAATTAGAGGTCCGGGTATTGTTGTAAAGATCGATGAATCGAAGTTCGGCAATCGAAACTACCACCGAGGTAAACATGTGACAGGGCAGTGGGTATTTGGTGGGATAGAACGCGGCAGTAATTGGTGTTTTTTGACAACAGTCAATGATCGAATGGCGGCCACACTTGTGGACTTTTAATTAAGGAATATATTGCACCTGGCACCACAATCGTTAGCGATTGTTGGAAAGCCAATAAATCCTTAGGTGCAGACGGTTACGAGCATCTAACCGTCAATATTCAGTGACTTTCAAAGGTCCCGAGACTGGTGCTTCCACAAATGTTATAGAAGGATTGTGGGCATTGGTAAAACGGCAATTGCCGGATTGCAATCGCAGCAAAGGCATATTCTCTTCATATTTAGGGGAGTTTATGTACCGACGCTTGCGAACAGATGCCCTTGATCCTTTCGAAACGTTTTTGAAAGACATTGCTCGCGTTCATCCACCTCCATCCAACGACATGGACGCTGCAGAGAACACTGACGCAGCGGAAGTGGATTTTGAAGTGGAATCGTCGACGGAGGAAATCCCAAAAATCGGCACTTTTCAGAGCCACCAATTATTGACGTAGCATCAATTTCTCGATTCACAATATTTTGCGTAAGATGAAAAAAGAGGTTTCAGCTTCGAAATTTGTAAGTAAATTATGTAAATTTATGTATAAAATATTTTTTTCAGATCTTCATTAATTAACATATATGTGTATTCCAATAAAAATAAATTGGTTTTATAATTTTAAACATGGTTAATTTTTTTTCTAATAGGCGGCGTGACTATTCCATCCGATTCACATTATATCCGACAGATGGCGTGACATAAAAAATCTAAGACACTAGCAGCCAACTTCAGTTCGGAGTCGTATACTGCAGTTTTACCGAGTACTTTCTAGATCCTTCTCTTGCTACCCCACCTCAGTTTCATCCATGATACATTGACATCGCACGTGGAAGCGGTGAATTTCAAAAGAGATAACCGGCTACCCTTTGTGCATTACCGATTTTTACACTTGCAATCCCGTGGCAGCTCCTCTCTGCTTTTTATACGCCCTCGCAGACTAACGGGCGAAATCACACGTGTGCGAATTTCGTAAGCGATAGATAGTGGCGATCTTTCTGGGTTTGTTTTTTTGACGACTCGGCGTACTCTGATTTTGGATATATCTGGTGAACGGCTTGGTTTTATGGACTCGATTTTGGGAACTTTTACGCAACGTTAAGGGCTGAAGGTGACTGCGGTCAGTGAGATAGTGGCATCAGCCGGTGGAACCGACCCCTCTCCCTTGTGGATTTGGATTACATAACCGATTCACTGGTGAGTACCGCCGAGAGCAGCTCTTCTTATTGCACGCTCTGTCCCTCGGAGAGGAGCCGGGATAGTCGTATAACTGGAGCCCGAGCGGAAATCGGTGGTTCAGGCGTTCGGCACGCTAACCTGCGAAGATCTCCGCCAGGGAAGAGGTTCGCCCACCGAGCCTAATAGGGCAGCCTCGCGGACCGTTGGTAGGGCAGGCTAGGAACGGTGGGAAAGGTTGACCCTGCGGCCCCTTACGGAGGGCCACGATCGTCGTTGAGAGTTATTGTACGCGTCGACACGCATTGTACTGACCCCGTTTCTTTTTGCTTGAATAAACGGACAATTTGAACTTCAAACGGCGTTGTCATTGGCGTACCTCGAACTGTTCGTTTCTCGTCGTCCCCACGTTCCCCTCTATCATTTCAGGTAGCTGAAGCTAGGCCCCTGACACGCTGAGCAATTTTCGATCTGACAAATGATATTACCGATACGTGCCGCTAGTGTACTGTGCTCGGTAAGAGAGGTAACAGATATAGCACATATAGGCGATATGGGCACTATCAGCACTATATATCCTATATATTGTAACGTTCCGACCTTATACCCCCCTATCCTTTATCCTTTTTCCTTCCCAATCATCCGTTCTCGATGATGGATACGTCAAGAGCCCCACATAAGAGTCCATAGCGCACTGTGGATGTGCATAACAGTATCTGAGAGAACTCCTCAAATCCTAGAATTCCTCAAGAATCCTATCGACCTCTCACAGCGACGCCGATAAAGGAAAGAGAATATAGGACCTTTAATTCTCTAATATTGCATAATTCCCTTGAATCTAGTCACAGCGACAGTCATGAGGATATAATATTAGAAATTATTACCTTTAACGTTCCTAGAATCCGAAATACAGTCGACAGACTAAAATCAAAACAAACAAGTGCCCAGACGCTATAAGCTGGCACGCGCCGAATACAATAGAAATACCAGTAAGCCGGTACTTGAAGAAACCGGTAATCCAATTAGTCAAATCAAATAATCAAATCAAATAATAAATCAAAATATTAAATCCAAAAAACGACGTTAACACCTCGGGTGGATAAAAAGCGTTATCCCCACTAGTTTTAACGTATTCCTACCGAGGATATAAGCAGCGGCTTCCTCGATAGGAACTCACTCGATTCACTCGATTCAGTCGTGTCTCTCTAGACGAATCAACTAGACACTTGTACACCACTAGACGACAGGAAGCAGTAGAAGCTATAAAAAAAGTTCAATTATTAAGAAACCTGCAGCAGTGCTCCAGAAACTCACATCACCAAAAACCCTTCCAAAGTAAAGATACAGCGAACGGGGGTCATTGTGACCATCTGTGGGTTCTGATCTTTACAATACCTATTTTCCGCTGGACCACAGTCTTCGGACGCATTGTGCACTCTGCTGTATTGTGGCCACAGCTCCTTCCTTCCCTAAAGTGAATGGTTCGGCGAACGGAGATCATTGTGATCATCTGTGGGTTCTGAATCTTCACTGCTATCACTGCCCGCTGTGTCGCAATCTTCGGACGCATTGTGCACTCTACTGTATTGTGACACGAGCTTACCCTTTCCTACAGTGATTGATTCAGCGAACGGGGGTCATTGTGACCATCTGTGGGTCCTGAATCCTCACTCTCCACACCTTAGCTACATCACAGTCTTCGGACACATTGTGCACTCTGCTGTATTGTGACACGAGCTTACCCTTTCCTACAGTGATTGATTCAGCGAACGGGGGTCATTGTGACCATCTGTGGGTCCTGAATCCTCACTCTCCACACCTTAGCTACATCACAGTCTTCGGACACATTGTGCACTCTGCTGTATTGTGATGATAGCACTCTCATCCCGACCCAAAGCTCCTTGGCTCGGCGAACGGGGATCATCGTGATCACCTGTGGGTCCCAAAACATTATCTATCGTCCTAACCTGCAACTGGACCACGGTCTTCGGACGCATTGTGCAATCTGCTGTATCGTGGTTCCAGCTACCTCTCTCCCATCCAAAAGGCTAGCAGAGATAATAAAGTAAACAAAAACACTTCTTGTCGCCTGTGGTATTACAGGCAAGCTAGAAACAATTGTAAAGTGTGTATATGTGTGTGAGAGAAAGAGCAAAATAGAATATTAAGGATAACTAGTCTGTAACTTATAGGATAATATATCATTATTTTGTTATTTTAAAAACTCCAGTGTCTAAATTGTTTCTGAAGACGCCTGCCCAGTGCACAAACCCTATAAACAGCCTTGTGATTTCTAACACTTGAAAATCACGAAACGTCTCAATATTAAACCTGTCATCGGTAGTTTCTTTTATTTATGAAATGCTTAATCACAAAGAGTATTATGTACAAATAGTCTTATTAATTAATTGGTGGATGGTACTTCTAGTATACTTATATATATTGTGACTGATAAATATTTAAGGTAAGTGTGGCAAACAATCGCGACAATTTGATTAGAGATCACAATAAGCAGAAGGATCATGGACGGTGTCCGGTAAGAGTATCGTGACGATATGCGTATCCTGAAAATCGAGGCACGTCAAAGTGACTGGGCGCCAGACATTTGGTAGATGTCGCAACACCGCTTGGAAATCCTCCGCGATACCCTGGCTACTCAGCCCACGGGAAGGTTAGAGGGGCTGGTCCTGCTAATACACACACGCGAGAAGGTTTCGCACACGCAGAATAAATAGCTCGAAATTTGGTAACAATAACAAAATAATTAAGTAATAGATTAAACAATGGGCGGTCACGCGAACGGGACCTTGGCGGCAGAAGGCCTGAATAATTATAAATTATATCTAAAAATTCACGGCCAAATATTGGCGACTCGCTCGCGCGCGGGAGAACAGTAGGAGAATTAGTAAATGACGATGAACATCGTTCCGGACAAATAATCCGTAGACTATAACAAGTATAAAGTAACAAAAGTTTACTCGGACGACCAACGGGCCTTAACGGAACGCACAAACGCAACAAAAATAGAATGTAAACAGAGATAAGTAAGGAAAGATTACACAAGAATCAAACAATACAATACGCAGTCTACAGGGAAGCGGTAGGCAGCGGATTCGGCCGTATGGGACACTCCAGGGTATTCAGTCTATCCGATGAAAATGAAATAGGCAAGGTAGTCTAATTAGGCCCGCGATAATTACACTTAAGCCCTTACTCATACCTCTCTCTTATAATCGCTATTAAGCGTCTTTTAGTTAAAGACGATTAGACCGCTGTTAAGAGACGCCGTACTCATACCTTCTTTTAAGACCACTATTAGTTAAGAGCGCGCTATTAGAAAAATGGAACTGGCAACGTTGCATAGACACGGCGGCCGTCCCACGCGCATGCGCGTTGCGCGGGCAAGCCTAAAATTTCAAACGACGCTCATGTTGCCGCTATACAAAAAAATAGCTTCTGTGAAAGGTAGTAACTGATTGATCGTATATGGTTCCGATTTGAATTGTAGACCAATGAGGTTCCTTCTTACAATGAGTTTCCTCGTTTTATACGTAAGCGTAATTGAACGCTATTACCTAGCTGATCAAAGAGCTGTTCAAACGTAAGTACAGATATCTCATTTAAATATGATACAATTATTTATGTAATCGATGATAAATATTGATGGAGGATTATCATATGCACAAATGCTTTATATGTCAGCTGAAAGATCAAAAAGGAGAGAAAACTTCAGCGAAGAAGAGAAACAGCGGATTCTTGAATTCGTTCAAGAAAACGTGAGCATCTTGGAGGACAAGCATAGTCATCCACGAAGCCAAGACGAGAAGAAACGGAAGTAGAAAGAGTTGGCAGAGAATATGAAAGCTACTGGACCCATCCGTGACTGGAAGGATTTACAAAAAGAAATATTTTGGCCTACAAGAAACAGCTGAAATCTACTGGTGGAGGACCATCTACCACGAAGCCGTCGGAAACAGATTTTCTGTTATCAGAAATTTGTCCTGCGAACTTCGTGGCAGATGAAATCCATTCGACAGTGATGGCGTAGTAAGTTATTTGTTCTAATTTCATTATATTCATATAATTTAGAATTTTTTTATAACTCATGTCTGTGTTTTGTTGAACAGCGCGATAAGGACCAGGATACAGATGTCACTGTTGTAAAAGACAACGAGGAAGGCGACATCTCTAAATATATCCTGGATCCTGCAACTGGGTAAATTTCCATAATCTCATTATTCTAAAGCATATTGGTTATAATAATATGGAAAATGAATAATTTAAAATATTTTCAGAGAACTTCTTTTGGAAAGCAAGGAACCGCAGCAGAGTGTCAGCAACATCCTACGACTCGGGCCCTCGGAAAGTGCCGTCATCTCTGAACCACCTCCAAGGAAGAGGAAAAAAGAGATGACGGCGTATGAGGAGAACTGCTGCGGCTACAAGAAAAGAAGCTCCAGGACGCCATCACATTTCAAAGAGAGGAGCATGAGGCGAAAATGAAGTTAATTGCCTCTGAACATAAATACAAGGAGGAATAATACGCATTAAGTTTGGAAGCGGTAAAAAAATCTAATGAAGAGTCTTCATTGCAGAGTGAGCTTTTGCGATTGCAATTGCAAAAACTGGAGAATTCTTCATAAGGATTCAGGTTTTTGTCTTTGTCGTCGGAAAAGTGCAATTATCTAGTAAATTGTCTTGATTAGATCTGCTTACTTATTTAACGTAATGTTTTGACTAAATTCATATTCGGCAATTTTGGTTGACTTTATTTGAACTTTCATGTACTTCTCTTTGAAATTATTACTGTCGAACCTCCATCAGTTAGTTTTAGCTATCTGTAGGCCAAATATTTTTTGTCCTTTCCACCGTTGATATTGCATAAATCTTTCCAGTCACGTGTAAATCCAGTAGCTGTCAAGTTCTCACGCAACTCTTTCCACTTTCTTACCATTTCAATTCGTCTTGGCTTTGTGAAATACTTACCTTGTTCTCCAAGATGTTCATATTGTGCGAATTCAAGAATCCGTTGTTAATTTGCTGAAGTTTTCTCTCCTTACTGTTATATATGTATATACCATATTATTAAATTAAATTATTATTAAATTAAGTTAAAATAAAAGAAAGGTTAAAATGAAATACCAATTGTTTTTGCTTTAAATCCATTTATTGTGAGAAGAATGCGATGCGACAATATGATCTTACAGGTTTTCGTTATAAAGTTGATCCATTTAAACTGTATAATGATCGTGAATTTCATAACCGGTATCGCTTATCCAAGGACTGCATACGTATCGTCGTTGGATTGGAAGCAGGACGGGGTTAGAGCCGGGCCTCACGTGAAGTACTGCTGCAAGAACTGCTGACGGAAGAGACTGCCAGCAACCAATGTAGATGGTTCTTCCGTAGTTGGGCTGACATCCTCTTCCGCCCGTTGCTTCGCCCCCTCATCGTCTTCTGGATCGGAAAAATGATTCCTATTAAATATACGAACAATATTTCTATTGTATATACTTCCAATATGCTGAAAATAATTCTACCATATAGGTTGGTGTCACCAAATTCGTGCCGAATGTTATATAGGACAGCCATTTCAACAATGGCTGTCCTCGCTGTTGGCAGAGAAATCTGCATGCTGTTCCTCAGGGCACGAAACATGCCCTTCCACTCTCCGAAGCAGCGTTCCACGACGTTCCGGGTTCGCACATGGGATGCGTTGTAACGTTCCTCAGCAGGGGTTCGAGGCCTTAAAAACTGTGTTAAAAGGTAGGATTTGCATGGATACCCGGAATCTCCAAGTAAAACCCCCTTAATTTTGGAACTCTGCAACCAGAAAATAATTTTATGAAAATGTTTGTACAATGAGAACACTCATTATTATTAGATTGTATTTTGTTTACCTCGAACCTCATCCTTGAGGGAGCAGTTATCCAATATGCGAGCGTCGTGCACACTGCCTCAACATCGAGCAACAATATCAAGGATACGTCTCTGAGCATCGCACACTATTTGCACATTCAACGAGTAGTAGCCTTTCCGATTGATATACAATTGTGCAACTTCCCTGCCGGGACTTTTGATTGGTACATGCGTACAATCAATGCAGCCCACAGCTTGAGGAAATTGTGCCAAATTATATAAGCCTATCTGAATTACTTCTACCTGTTGAGGAAATGCAATAAAGCGAGGAAGTCATCCTGCAATTGCTTCTGAGACGGCATGTACTATCCTTGATACTGTCTGTTGCGAAACGCCATGCAGATCCCCTACAAATATAAGCTGAGTTAGGAAAAATAGCAATAGGTAGAACATTCGTTTACTATTCAAGAATAGTCAACTGAGTGTTCTTCAATCTTTAATGACTGTCCAGTGATTTAACCAGTCGATTGGTTCGTTAAGAACTCATGGCTGGCCTATTCTTGTCTTTATTGGTTTTTTTTTGCATGCAATATATGTAATGATATGATATATGTAATAATATATGTAATGATAAAATTACTCACCTATTTCTCAAAGCCTAAATCTCAAAGCGATGAGAAGTTGGAGCGTTGGTGAGCAGTCACTTGCACGGCCAGTCGGAGTCTATAACCTCTCTTGAACCAATCCAACGACAAAACGTACGCAGTCCTTAGATAAGCGGTACCGGTTACGAAATTCACGATCATTATACACTTCAAATGAATCAATTCGATCACGAAAAAATGTCGGATAATCTTGTCGCATCACATTCACTTCACGCACATCGGCGATGTCGTTTACATCGACGACGGACTCCATTTTGATTGATTTTGACAGCTGGTAATAGCGGTATAATAGTGCCCTTGGCCGCTATTATAAACTAGCACTCTCTATTAGGTTAAAAGTGCCTTAACCACTTGCGCTGGAAAGACGTGTCACGCACGTCGTTATGCTTTTGTCACAAAATCGCCCACGACGTGGTATGTACGTCGTCATGCGATTGTTATAGAAACAGAAACGACGTGCGTGGCACGTCAGGTGGGATTGAAGTCAGAGTACAGATCATCATTGCACTGCATAGCCTACAGTTATCAATATCCCATATTCTAAAATGGAAAGCGACGTAAATGTAGTTTGTAATAACAGGGATGATTCGTTGGTTCGGTCTACTCTATCAGCACATCCACGTGTTAATACAAGGCCTATCGAATATCATGATTTGAAGTTGTGATAATCTCTCAAAATATGTCTTCGTGGATCAGGAAATATTATATTTTTAAGTGATTCCTCAGTAGGTAGATCTTTTGGTAGTTTTGAAACCTCTATGGGAATCAATTGCCACGGTAAGTACTGAATAGAATTGTCTTGTTCGTTAACCTGATATTTTGTCACGTCTAGATCCTCTGGCTCGTTAGTTTTTTGTTATTAAGTGTACGGTTTATCTAGTTGCCTAAATAATTTACATAATTGAACTTTCCTACCACTTCGTTTAGGCATAAGTCTGTACTTACTCAAGTCTTGTGTTCCTAGTATATTTGAATTTCCTTCGGTATGTGATTGAATCTCAATTAGATCGTTTGGGATGAATGACCAGTCTTATCCAAGTCCTGATGATGTGTGAGATGTTGATCGAAGTTTCGATTTAATATTAATAATCTGCTAGGATAAAGTAGAGGCCCTAAGTGCGGCTTCAGTTCTACCTTTTTTGAAATAATAAGGATGGATAGCGGCCCTATACAACGGCTTCAGTTCTATCTATGAAGGTTTCGAGTAAATTGTGAATACTGTGATTTCGGTATCCTGAATAAGTTTTAGAGGTTCTTGGTATATTTAGTATGTCAGTTTTGACTTCACTCTCGATTCTAATTGGAACTTCGATTTTAACTTCAAATGTACGAGTTAACACGCTCGACAACTCTGATGATGTTTTCTTAATCTCGTAATTCACATCCTCGAATGTGACTTCTGACTCCCTTTTCATAGCAGTAAAACTAAGACCTCCCGTTCCTCAAAATTACTAACATATCGATTGACAACTAACCTTTTTTCATCAAACAATATACTAAGTCGTACTCTGTAATTTGAATATCCTTGAATGTTACCTGAGAAGATTCAGTCTTATCCTTTTATTTATATCTTCATTGTTCGATATTGATAAAATATAATACAGTGTTTAATATCATCAATGTATCGTATAATAATGTATTATTCCTGGATTATATGATTATATGGTTAAATGATTATAAGAATATGATTTGACTTGACTATTAATAATTATAAGACGTGAATCGTAACAATACATACATTTTGTAGTCATTTTTCTCTCTATTAAACTAAATACCTAACATAAATACGAAGTTTTTAATTTTGTAATATTATGCTTTGTATGACGTTTGCTTAGTATGACGTATTTGTTATTTCCTTTTGATGTCATTATAAGCGGATTCTACTGTACTAATAATATTCTAAGATTATATGTTTATTATTAGGCTTTTACCGTGATTATTTTTAACAAGTTATTATTAATATGCTCTATATAGAAAGTTGAGGTTGGTTATACGTTTGAAAACTGGCATAATGAACGCAAGTTTATATCAAGAAATCCGCGTACCCGCATACACGTATTTATATAGATATTATACATACACTTAAAACAGAACATAAACATTGCTATGACAATAGAAGAGAAAGTCAGACACTGCATTTTCCTTCAGGCGTGATAGTATAAGTAAGGATAGTGCGTGCCAGAGTTGCGGAATTGCTTCTACATGTCCTGCATTACCCTTATCTACAAATTCACAGACGACCATCAAATGTCAAACCCTATCCCTGACTTTGCTCAATGTTGCCTTTTCTGAACATCTACAATACTGTGACGTGTTAAATTTTTAAAAATATTTAATAGAAAAGGTGCATTGTTGTAACAAATAGAGGTTCATTTCACATTAACACAGATATCGTTTGTTTAGAATTTTTTTAATATAACCTGATGAACAACAACTTGTGATATACCCTGTAACGTGACAAATCCATCAACCTCTCAGTACTCCTGTACTGAGCACTCGTTACAAGTAAACAGTAAGGACGCGCGGCTAGTGTCAATAATAGCCGATAGATGAAAAACAGCTTCTGAAAGTTAATCCGCGGAAAATAATAGAAACATAATCCACTAGAGGATTAGCGCATCTCGCTAATCAGTTTAGCATTTTAATCAGTTCAATATTGCTTTTCTAACCAAATTCAATATTCTCAGAAATCAACATACGGCATATAAGTCAGATAAAGGCTCATTGCAAAGAAAAAAAAAATATATTCGACCTGACACATTTTTCACCCACGACATATACCCGCAGATAATTCAAGATGTTTCATCGTAGCAGACGAAAAAGCGCCAACTTGGCGTCAATAACAGTAGCGGTAGCGTCTCGGTCGGTCGTCAAGACATAACATATTTTTACGATCGCTCTCCAAATACACGGAATATGGTTATGTTCTTACGTTCAATATTTAAGAGGACCGATTGAATGTTATAGAGATTTCGTGAATGCTGATTTAGAAAAGGTAGTTAAGGATGGTTCGTTGGTTAGATTTGCCGGTGCTAAACGGTACGTCCACGCGTTATTTCAATTGTTCCAGCAGATAAGATTCGGTAGAAATAGGAAATAGGTTCCAGAGGATACCTTGATCGATACGAGGAGGATTGTTCTTTGAGTCTGATATGATATCCTGATTAATGAAACTAGAACGAATTCTAACTGAACGAATTGATTGATTGATTCTTTGCTCGGGTATTCTTTATCCGTTTTATGTAAGTTAGATATTCTGGGTATGAATGAATTATTGTGTGTACCTGATTGTATGTGAGTGGACTCATACGCTTATCCAATGATTTCCAGGGAATTCAACTGTTTCCTTTTATTGCTTTCCTTGGAAGTATGAAGATTCAATGAGGTGGTTTGGATG